TGACCTGCAGGAAAATATTTAGGAAGCCTGGAAGTGAAATGAAGAACATGAGCCGGCTTCAGTGTGCGCTTGCAGCCCAGAAAGCCAACCGTACCCTGGGCTGCATCAAAAGGAGCGTGACCAGCAGGTCGAAGGAGGTGATCCTGCTCCTGTACTCTGCTCTTGTGAGACCTCACCTGGAGCATTGTGTGCAGTTCTGGTGTCCTCAACATAAAAAGGACATGGAACTGTTGGAACAAGTCCAGAGAAGGGCCACGAGGATGATTAGGGACTGGAGCACCTCCCATATGAAGACAGGCTGAGGAAGTTGGGGCTGTTCGGCCTGGAGAAGAGAAGGCTGCGTGGAGACCGCATAGCAGCCTTCCAGTGTCTGAAGGGGGCCTATAGGGATGCTGGAGAGGGGATCTTTATTAGGGACTGTAGTGACAGGACAAGGGGTAACGGGTTAAAACTTAAACAGGGGAAGTTTAGGTTGGATATAAGAAGGAAATTCTTTCCTGTTAGAGTGGTGAGGCACTGGAATGGGTTGCCCAGGGAGGTTGTGAATGCTCCATCCCTGGCAGTGTTCAAGGCCAGGTTGGACGAGGCCTTGGGTGATATGATTTAGCATAAGGTGTCCCTGCCCATGGCAGGGGGGTTGGAACTAGATGATCTTAAGGTCCTTTCCAACCCTAACGATTCTCTGATTCTATGATTCTAACATGCAGGAGAATTTCGAAAGTATAACTGATTGGCATGCAGCCAATTTCACTGCAGTTTAGGTACACAAATAAATTTCTGGCTTTTCAAAACTTTTCTTAATGTGGCAAAGGAAAATAATACTCCTTTTCTTCTTCCAACACTATCTAGCAATACAGATACCTCCTGATCAGGTGATGTCCTTTGGTGGCTCCACATACCCCTGTGCTATGTGCTTTCTCTACATCATTGGCAAGATAGGGGAGCAAGAGGACAAGGTCTACTCCAAATTGCTTTGTGACCTGCTGAACAAACAGCTGAAAATACCATCTGACAGGTGAGCTTGTACAGCAACTTGTCTGACATGACTTTCCACAAACTGTTAAAACTATTAATCCCAAACTTGTCCTTTGGTGTTCTTATATGCTGCTTGAAGAGCTTAAATGTGATGTCAGTAAAGCAACTCTCTGATTAAAAAGAGGAAAGGAGCAATTGCATGAGCTGCAGTGCCAATGCCCAGAAGCTGTAGAATTTTAGTTAAACAGTGGAGGCTCAGGCACATAAGATTCCTTCTTATTTAAAAGGGATGGGTTGCAGGCAAGGTCCTCCTTAGTTCTCTTACTCCATGGACATAGCTGCTCAGCAGATAAACTTGTGCTGCGAGTCTCCCAGGGCTCAGCACAGGCAGAGGGAGTAAGTGGAAAAACCCACTGTTCACTGTTCTGCCCTCCCCTTTTCAGCCACTGAACAATTTCCAGTGACAGTGAAGATTAGAGCACAGCTCAAAAAGGAGCAGAGGCACAGTTAGCCATTCCCAGAGGCCAAAGTGATAAATGAATTATGAAAGGAAGCTTTAGATATTCCCACAGCATCCTCACAGCTAAATTGAGGAAGTGTGGACTGGATGATCAGGTAGTGAGGTGGACTGCGAACTGGCTGAAGGAGAGAAGCCAGAGAGTTGTAGTCTATGGGGCTGAGTCTAGTTGGAGGCCTGTAACTAGTGGAGTGCCTCAAGGGTCAGTACTGGGACCGGTATTATTTAATATATTCATCAACGATTTAGATGAGGGAATTGAGTGTACTATCAGCAAGTTTGCTGATGACACTAAGCTGGGAGGAGTGGCTGACACACCAGAAGGGTGTGCTGCCATCCAGCGAGACCTGGACAGGCTGGAGAGTTGGGCAGGGAATAACTTGATGAAATATAACAAGGGAAAGTTAGAGTCCTGCATCTGGGCAGGAACAACCCCAGGTTCCAGTATAGGCTGGGAAACGACCTGTTAGAGAGCAGTGTAGGGGAGAGGGACCTGGGGGTCCTAGTGGACGACAGGATGACCATGAGCCAACACTGTGCCCTTGTGGCTAAGAAGGCCAGTGGCATCCTGGGGTGTATTAGAAGGGGGGTGGTTAGTAGGTCGAGAGAGGTCCTCCTTCCCCTCTACTCTGCCCTGGTGAGACCCCATCTGGAATATTGTGTCCAGTTCTGGGCCCCTCAGTTCAAGAAGGACAGGGAGCTGCTGAGAGAGTCCAGCGAAGGGCAACAAAGATGATTAGGGGAGTGGAGAATCTCCCTTATGAGGAAAGACTGAGGGAGCTGGGTCTCTGTAGTTTGGAGAAGAGGAGACTGAGGGGTGACCTTATTAGTGTCTATAAATATATAAAGGGGGAGTGTCACGAGGACGGAGCCAGGCTCTACTCAGTGGCAAACAATGATAGGACAAGGGGTAATGGGTACAAACTGGAACACAAGAGGTTCCACTTAAACTTGAGAAGAAACTTCTTCTCAGTGAGGGTGACGGAACACTGGAACAGGCTGCCCAGGGAGGTTGTGGAGTCTCCTTCCCTGGAGACATTCAAAACCCACCTGGACACATTCCTGTGTAACACTATCTAGGTGTTCCTGCTCCGGCAGGGGGATTGGACTAGATGATCTTTCGAGGTCCCTTCCAATCTCTAGCATACTGTGATACTGTGATATAAATTATTTATTATTCAAACTCTGGATCATATATGATCATTTGCTTCCAAAGTTGGGATAACAAGCATTTTGAAAGCTGCCTTGGTGAATCAAAGCAGCACAGCCAATATAGCAATGTGCTACTTAGCATCTAAACACAATATATCTTATTATATCTCTGCCTTGCAGCACTGCTTGTTGAGGGAGGAAGACATGACATGAGGTAGCTATTTTTTTGGCGTAAAAGCTATGAAGCCCCTAAACAGCAGGACCTTCTGTGGGGAGCAGTTTCCTTCTCCAAAAATCAATCTGCCTTCTTCATAGAGGCACTCATTCTGCCTGATCTTGGAGCCACAGCACCGGTATTCCTGATGTTCTCCTGGTGCCTCCTCCCCCATCCAATTGCTCTGTGCTCGGATGCAGCTGGGTATGTACAACTGCCACCCATGAATGCCCCAGCCCTGCTATTTGCAGCCAGCCTGACCCATGTATCTTCTGAAGCCTTTCTGTGTTACATGTTTTCAGAGTTATTCTTGGAGCATTCAGACACTGAAACATGGGTTCCTAAGGTACCTCATGGTGCAAGTATAATTAAGACCATCTCTACTTGCTAACAATTCTCATATTCTGTAATACAGACCATAAGAGCTACCTTTGCCTGTGTCTCTGGCACATTATTAGAATGCTCTTTGGTATATTTCTGTGAAACATTTTACTTTTAAGGGGTTTTTTTTGGCTTTAGATGCATTTATTCACAATTCTTGTTTTAATCACAGGCAATTGTGTTTTAAAACAGATGCTGGGCATCCGAAAATGTATTATGAATGCATGAGTGGAGCAATCATTTGAGGAAGGAGTGAGCACCAAGTACAATAGTATTTGGTTAACTTCTAAAAATGCATCTTTAGAAGCTATGAAAATAGCTTCTTCCTTAGTCAAGGAGGCAAAGGAGAATGAAACTGTGGATGTGTCTCCATTGTGTGCCAGCATGACCAGGGTCTGCCACTTTGGGCCTGGGTGTCCACAGAGCAAGTACGCTGTTGGTGATGCTGCTCTCAAAGTTTTTTTCCCTGCACTGATAGAATTCCCACTGCACTTCTATGCAACGAAACTGGGAGGAATAAGTGGCACTATGCAATGGCAGGGAACTGAGGTATCAAAGGGAAGAAGCGTAGCTTCAGTTCTTAATATCTCTGTTAATCACCAAAAGAAAAGTTCTCCAGTACCCAGCGTTATAGCCTGTGCCACTCCAAAGCACTCACATCTAATACCCAGTCTAATTGTTCAGGGCTATGTGCGTTCACATGTGTAACATGTATGTATGGTCAAATTTTCTGGCAGCAGCAGTGTAGGAACTGTTTCACAAATTAACACGTGCTCTATTCCTGTGTGTAAAATGCCTTTGTGGAGAGAGCTCTGGGACTGATCCTCTTTAGCCTTCCTATGAGTCATTTCAAGCAATACAGCGGATCTGTGCTGCAGTGTAAGAGGCTGGGTGGGAAGTCGGGTCCTCCGCAGCCTACGTGCATCACATCACACAGCCCAGGCAGGACTCATCTCTCGGGCTGCCTCTCACCTCCGAATAGACACGCACCCTTTCTAAGCAGAAGTAAGTCACTTCTGCCTTTTTCCAGTACAAATAATATGATGGGAAAATGAGGATACCGAGGAGTAATAGATCACTTCGAATTTGACTGCAAAAAGTTAGAAAATAATTAACGTGCCAATAAAGTCAGACATTTCTGCTTACATCGTGTTAAAGCTATACACACAGTTAAAACAAAAAAAAAGTACTGATGTGCCTTTATTTTGCAAAATAAAAAAAAAATAAAAATCCCACCTGAGCCAGGGCAAGCATCCCCTTTGCAACTGCCAGGCTAAAGCCTCTGGCCCTTTTTGGCCCCGATCCTGCAGAAGCCCGCGGGAATGCTACAGCAGGAGTACCACATGCGCCGATACCAGGCTATGTATGAACTATCGAGTGCGGCGGGACTCGGTGCCAGGCAAGGAGCCTACAACATAGCCTCAAAAGATGCTACATGGTAGTAACCGAGGGAACGAACAACGGCGGAAAGCGGGGAGAATTCTGGCCGTGACGCTGCCGCGGGCGGGAAGCCGTAAGCCGCATCAAGGGCAGCAGACTAGGGAGGCAGTTGTTCGTCGTGTCCCCCTGCCCCCCCCCCCCAATTTCGTCCTCTCCCCACCGGGCGTGGCCCCTTTAAGGCCGGCGCGTCCCCTTTAAGGCCGACGCAGCCGCGTGCACGCTAAAAGCTCCGCCGCCTTCGCCTCCCGCCACTGTGCTGCTGCCGGTGTACCGTACCGTACCGTACCGTACCGTACCGTACCGTACCGTACCGTACCGTACCGTTCCGCTACCGGTCTCGCTGCCCGCCACCTCTGCCACCATGCCGATGTTCGCCATCCAGACCAATGTCTGCAAGGACGCCGTACCCGAGAGCCTGCTGGGTGACCTCACTCAGCAGCTGGCCAAGGCCACCGGCAAGCCCGCGCAGGTGAGGGCGGGTGGTGGGGCCGATGCTGCTGGAGGCAGAGAGCCGCGGGGCTGCACCCGCTCCCTCGCTCACTGAGACGGAGGGGCTGCGGCCGCCGCGGGTGCGTCTACGGGCAGGACATGGTTCTGGTCCCCGCTGCGCAGGGGAGAGGGCTTGTACCTGCCCCGGAGGCCTTCCGCGGGGCCGAGGCAGCCGCGCTGCAGCAGTGGACTTCCCGCTGCGCTGGTTGCCTGGGCCTAGGCCCAGCGGCTCCTGAAGGCCGGTGGCCTGGCCAACCGGAGCGCCAGCCTGACCCGAGGGAATTCGGTGCTCGCATGGCTACAGCGCTGGAGGCTCGGCTGCGCCGTGATGGGAGTCGGGATTTCAGCCACATGGCTGGGGGAAGGCGCTAGTATCCGCCAGGCTGGCGAGACTCGGGCAAAACGAAGTAACCGATACCAAGCTCCGGTCCGTCTTCTCCCGGTTATCTCGGGATCGGACACGGCCCCTCTTGGGCCAGACCACTGCAGCCTGAGAAATCAAAGCGGAGCTGCAGGCAGCGCTGTGGCTCAGGCTGTGATTGAGGGTGTGAGTTCTGGCATGGACACACAGTTTTAAGGCCTTCATCTCCAGCCGTATACGCTTTGCCCCGTGTAGCGGCAGGCGGGACTAGCCTTCTCGTCTGCGGCTCTCCCCAAACACAACCTTCACTCCCAAAGCTGAGAGCCAGGCCGAGGGGATCCCCGCAGCCGGGGGGCCACTACCGTGCCACCCTAGTGGGCTGCAGTGCCTGAGCCCTTATTGCTTCCTGCAAGGCCAGGAAGGGCCCAGAGGGCAGCGCTGGTGAGCTGCCCGGGCTGTAACACAGAACATAACTGTGGTGTCTAACGTTGGTACACAAAGCAAGTTCGTATTGCAATACGGAGGTCAGACCGGCTGTAACCGTTTGTTCTGTGCCTGCAGTACATAGCTGTGCACATCATACCTGATCAGATGATGTCCTTTGGGGGCTCCACCGATCCCTGCGCGCTCTGCAGCCTTTACAGCATCGGCAAGATAGGAGGGCAGCAGAACAAGACTTACACCAAGCTCCTGTGTGATCTGATCTCCAAGCACTTGCATGTATCTGCAGACCGGTAAGGCTGGGACATGGTTTTAGCCTTAGTTATCTGGCTTTCTGAAGTTGCTTTGACAATTTTATTTCAAAATACAGAAAGCCAAGAATAAGTCCATGTGGTTGAGAAAATACCAAATTATCATTTACAATGTTTTCATGTCCAGTGACTTTGACGCCTTTCCCTTTAGAGTCCCCTGTTAAATAGCATCCTGTTCTCAGAGCAGGGAAAAATGCCAGAGAACTGACAAGTTGTACAGCGTTGTCTTTTGCCTCTGAGGTGTTGCGTCTTGTCCTCTGGTGATGGATGGCTGAAAGCACAAAGCAGGAGCAGTAACAGGCTGGGTCTGAAAGACACAGTAGAAACCAGAAGGCTGTGACAGCTCCCTCACAGGCTGTGGAGCCTTCAGACTGTGTGTGTGCAGTGACAAAGGATGGGAAGTGGGGTCAGAAGGGAGAAGTGCAGAGATGGCTCTGAGGGCCTGCTTGGCTTTTGTAAGGCTGCCTCTTTGACACGTATGAAGGACTGCAGCGTTTGGGCCAGAAGGTTTTGATCTCTAGAAATTCTTGACAGGCTGCTAGCCAAAAGCTGGGGAGTGTCTGGATAGGCCTTGACTGAAGAATAAGTTTTATTCTAAAAGCAGTAATACAGTTCCAGGGACTGTGAGGAATAGTGCGAGTTTGGAGGCTTTACCAGAGAAGCTAGCTAGCTAAAAACAAAGCTTGGCATTTTTCTGAGGAATAGGAAGCTTTGCTCCTGTCCCGTTGTCCTGTCTCCCTTGTTACTTAGATAAATGAGGTAATACGGTTGTTTGTGTCTTCCTGTGCCTCTTCTGCAGGGTGTACATCAACTACTTTGACATGAACGCTGCCAATGTAGGCTGGAATGGCTCCACCTTTGCATAGAGCACTCCTGACACCTGAAGAGGCTGCTCCTGGACCTGCTCTCACCCTGCCCCTTTAGCAGAGACCACCACACAAATGGCCCTCTGTTGCGTTTTGTGCACTCTTGAGATCGATGGCTCCTTGTTAGTGTGTTTAAATATTGCTGCTTCAACATTCCTCTGTTTTCTCCGTGTAGAAAACAAATAAAGATTTAGAAGTAAGCTGTCTGGTGTCGGCTGTGGCAGGTTGGGGATGGACTTGGGCAATTGGTAACATCTGTTTCACTCTGTTAAAGCAAAGAAATGCTTCAGGTTTGCTTGTTTCTCAGACGGTATTTCTCAGTAGGGTTTGACAGAGGGCAGGTGCCTGGCAACACTCCAAAGTGACTTTTTACCTTGCTGGGCTTCAGAGTCCCTTCAGTGCTTCTTGTCGCTCTTGAGGCGTTTTGCGGTGGCCTCCATTGCCACAGCAGAAGCAGTCTTTGGGCCAGCCCTTTGCTTGCTCCTTAAGGAACTTCCCTTCAGTGTTGTATCAGCCGCCTGTGCTGGTGCAAGGAAGGCGTGCTGGGGCCTGTAGCGCGGCTCTGTGCTGCCAGCCCTTCCCCGCAGTGCCGTGCTACCGGGCCGGCCTCCCGCCATGATGAGGCCCGTTTCCCTTCCCGCCTTTTCTCCTCAGCCGTGCTGCCCCCTCCTCTCCCGCCCCCCCCCCTCCCCGCCTTCTGGCGCTTTCCGTCGCCGCCATGTGGGCTCCGCTGACGTCATCTCCGTGCGCCCGCGCGGCGCGGCCATGGCGCTCTTCTGCATCAACAGGTGAGGCTGGGCCCGGCCTGCCTGCGGCCGTGCTGTGGGGCTGGAGGGGGCGGTGGGGCCGTGCCGGAGCCTGAGCCTGAGGGGGTTTTGTCTGGGCTGTTTCAGGTACAGCGGGGAAGAGGAGCAGGAGCCTGAGGCGCCGGACCGGGCTCGGGTCCTGCTGGAGCGGCTGCAGCAGCAGGCAAGGGCCCGGCAGCTGAGGAAGCAGAAGGAAGCGCAGGCCGAAGGAGGGGAAGGCGAGTTGTGCCCGGGGGGAGCGGGGCTGAGCCCCGGGGGTGAAGCCGGGCGAGGAAAAAGGAAAAGTGAGAGTGAAGAGCAGCCCTGTGCGGCAGGGCAGACGCAGGTAAAGAAGAAACGGCCTCGCGGCCCGTCTGAGGACCGCGCGGGCAGTGAGGGGTCAGCAGATGGCAGCACTCCCTCGAAGAAGAAGAAAGAAAACAGACGGAAATCGAAAGTGCTGCAAGAGAGGCCTGAATCAGGTAAGGATAAATTGAGGCTGTGTAGGATCTCGGTTTATTGCGGTTGACAGCTCTCAACAGAAGAGTAGACATAATTTGCCTTTTGAGCAATTTACCTGATGGTGAATTTTGCTTCCTTCTGCTTAATATGTTCCCCAAATAATTCCTTTTTTAGGGGAAAGACCCATATTGCAGCCTTTGAGGGTGAGTTTAGCATAGGGGAAGGAGGGAAGCATGTCACCTCAGTCTTCAGTTGTCTCCAGACTAAGGAAGAAATGTTTGGCTTTTGCACTTGAATTTAGGAAGAAAGAGGAGCTTGCAAGTTGTTGCCGGAGTCCTGCATTGTAAAATGTTTCCTACATCCCTTTTCTGTAGCATGTTCTGACCTGTAGCTGTGCATTCCTGTTACCCAAATTCCAGATTCTGAAGCAGACATCAAACAACATGAAAACAGAAGCAACTTTAAAAGTAAGTCTTCTAAAAAGACGAAGAGGGATGAGGAAACAGAGGGAGTTGAAACAAGGGAGGAGGAGAACAGTGAAGGAGCTGAAGGAAATCAAAGCCCAAAGGAGGAGCTGTCCTTAGCAGCCTCAGAGGAAGAGGCAAAACCTCCACCCTCCAGTTTGATGGTTCTTGGAGACTATGACAGAAAGCCAGTGCAGAAGGTAAGCAGCCTGACTGAATTTTGAGGATGGTCAGGAAGGAACATGCATCTTAGCAGCTTATTTTACATATGGTATTGCAGGTTTATGATAAAAATGCTTTTTAATTCTCCTTTCCCCCACCTTAGGTTCAGCCCTTCTTACCACACTGGCTTGCTCAACCCAAATTAGTGCAAAAATGTATCAAAGATAATCTGTTTCCAATCGGAGATATCCCAGGACTTCATCCTCGACTATTGAAAAAGCTGCAAGTGAATGGGATAGAGTCCTTCTTTCCAGGTACCTTGATACTGCTTTGTTTCTTTCTAAACTGACTTATGTAGTTCATGCAGTCTGTTGCTGTCTGTTTTGTTTAGTCAGTGAAGTAAAATACAAAACAAATTCAAGTGATTGCACTAGTTTTAACCCTTCATGTTCAAAGCTTCTATAGGCTAAGTAATTGAAGTCTGTTATCAAGTCATAAGTGCAGCTCAACAAAATATGGTGGTTTGAAGTAATGGCTCACAGCTGCCAAAAGAGGGGAGGTGTTACTTGTGTCTTCCTATTTTTATCTCCTTGTTACAAGGCATGTGCTTTTAGTTCCTTACCTTCTACCATCTCTGCTGCTAGTGGTCCTCTCTGAGACCCCAAACAACTCATTAAAGCAGCAGAAAACAACTCAAGAAAAACAAAAAAATACATTTTCCATTATTTTACCAGTTTTGCAAGTAAGTGCAGTTAAGTGTCAGCTCCTAAGTAGAAGGCACAGCTGGAAGCAGTGACAAGGAGAGGAGGCAGTGAGAGAGGAGAGAAGGTGGGATCTCTGACTTTCAGGCAGTTACTGGGTCTGTCTGAGCCTGGAGGCTTGGACTCTATCAGAGACCCATTAGTGTTATATTGGAAAGCCAGCATGTATCTTCTCTTTTAGAGTATGCTGTCGCATAGCGTTTTAATGTAAATGCTATTGCTTATTTTGTCCTGGGAGTTCTTAACAGGTTGCTAATAGCAGCAGCTTGTGTTTTCTCATAACTCAAGTCCAGCTTCTGTCACTTCGTAGTAGATGAATCAAGCAGTGTCACGCCGTCTGGTAAAGATGGTGTCCACTGAAGTCATATGCATCGTGGAGTATGCTCTTGTCACAGACCTAGATCCACTGCTAAATTTCATAGATAAACCAAAGTTGGCCAATTTGTCAGGGCTTGTCATGGGGCAGGGAAGGGAAGGAATTCATGCATGACAGCCAAAGCTGTATGTTTTGCAGCAGACTTACTCCAAAGGCTACAGTAGTTATGCATTTTGCTGCTTGGCAGATGAGGCTGCATAGCCTTGTTGCTTATTTTGTGTTTATGTAAAGAGTACTTTGTACTACAGTGAAAGGATGCTTACGCACAAATATTCACAGGTTTTAAATCTGCCCAGTGCCACCCTAACGTGAGAACAAGATGACAGATACGAGTTAAAAACAATACTTAACACAGTAGCGTCCTAGATGAGCACTAGAAATAGTTGAATCCTTGGAGGGAGATATCTCTATTCAGTACTGAGCTGCCATGAGTGAAAAAGGGCTAGGTAACCCCAGATAGCATCTCTGGGAAGAGCTGGTTTTCGTTTCTTTGCCTCTTATATCTGTAGCAACAACAGCATGTGGAAACAGATTCATTGTATCTAATTGCTTTTCTGGATACCTTAACTCTGTAGTTTGCTTGTTTCCTTTTTTGTTCAGTTCAGGCAGAGGTGATTCCTGCTATTCTACAGAGTGCATCCAATGGGTATTTGCTGGGGCAGGGAGGATACCGCCCCAGAGACATCTGTGTCTCTGCACCTACTGGCAGTGGTAAAACCCTGGCCTTCGTCATACCCATAGTCCAGGTGAGTTTACCCCTAGCAAAATGTCTGCAGGGAAAAATAATGGGGTTGCTTTTGTTCAAGTGAAATCTAAACTTGGGAGTAGGTCAGAAAGCCAAGGAATTTGGGGATGCAAAGCAACAGATATTTAGCTCGGAGCTGTTTGAGGGAACTGTGTAAGTTTGCTTTGTCTTAGTAACTCACTCCTCAGATAGCAGACAAAGAATGAGGAGTTGGGAGGGTGGGAGTAAAACGGAAATATGAAACTTCATGTGAATGTCTCAAGCCCATTTCTTCCCACTAGGTTAGATACAAAACTCCCCATTGCTTTCACAGACTTACTTGGCCTTTGTTCTGGCAGGTTCTGCTAGATCGAGTAGTTTGTCAAGTACGAGCTTTGGTGGTTCTGCCCACCAAAGAGCTGGCACAACAGGTATGTGGCGCTCTTCACCTTCTCTCTGAGCAGAATTGGGTGAGGGAAAGGCTGGTGCAGTCAATACTTGCCTTTGCTGTTCTGTGAAGCAGGTTGAAGACCTGTCAGTGGGTTTAGTGTTGTTAGTATAAGGGGAAGTATTACTTTGACTGATTTTTGTTGTGGCTAACAAAACTCATCTCTTTGCAGGTGAGTAAAGTGTTCAACATTTACACTGATGGGACAGGTCTGAAGGTTGTTTTGATTACTGGCCAGAAATCGTTTGCCAAGGAGCAGGAGATGCTTGTCCAGAAAAAGTAGGTTAAAAGGTTTTTGATAAGGTTTATAGAGACTGTAAACTACTTAATAAGCAGAGGTCAAAATACAGGCTATTGCATCACACCATCATGCAATAATGATTTTGGATAGTGGGTTTATAAGGTAAACTGGTTGTTCTGTCTTTGTCAAAGTGCCTGATACTGCCCCTTTTCTGCAATGATACTGTACTAGATTTTTGAAGTTCTCTGCCAGCTGTGTAGAATGCAAACATTAACCTTGTACCCACAGGTACAAATGATTGTTATGGGATTTTGTTGCAATTAAGGTTTTTTTAAAGAGCAGTGCTTTCTGTTTGAAATGAGGCAGTACAATGGAAAACAGGGTTTAGTGTCCAGCACAGACTGTGTGTACTCTCTGAAGTAAAGTGCATATTGGAATGTTATTATTTCTCTGTTAATTAAATAGTAGGAAAACTTTATAGCCTGTTGACCAGGGATCTCTATTACATACTCTGTGGTGTAGGGAGAGACTTACTAATGGCTGTTTGTTCTTTCAGAGTGACAAGCTACTGCAGCCTGGCTGATATTATTGTGGCTACACCAGGGCGGCTCACAGATCACATCAACCAGACCCCAGGGTTCAACCTCACACAGCTTCGCTTCCTGGTGAGTCAGCTCCACAGATCTCCCATCTTAGTGCGGTGTCTGTTACAGCTGTAATTCCTGCTTTGTTCTTGCATGATACATAAGTACTTCTCTGTTGGAACTGTTGAGTGGG